GGAGCCGGCGCGTTGGCGGCGGCGGAGGGTCAGCCACGAGAGGCCGTTTGTGAAGTCAGCCCGCGAGGCGCCCACATCGCCTGCATCACCATGGGGTGGGAACTCACTTTAGATACAGATTTCGCGACCCGCTGCAGACCTACTGAGTCGGAAATGCAGCGGTGAGCCAGAGGTGATGGTTATGCACTCTGAAGCTTAGTCACTGAGGTTTTCCTCACTGGCAAATAAGTACGGAAAACCAGACCGTTGGAGCGGGTTCGCTGCCCCCTAATTCTGATGGTAAGGGCAGTGTGCTGGGGGTGTTCTCGAGACCTTCCTACCAGCATCTTAAGGCCTAATTTAACCTTGGGACCTTAGTCATACCTGTGCAATGCAACATGCTCTTACCTACCTTTTCTTGCAGAGATAATAATGATAAAAATAATGAGGAGCCCAGGAGACTATGGAAACCAGTAGAAGATGGCATTAATGTCTCTCAATGGGGAGACATTACTCTTCCAGCCCTATACACCGACTGATGTGGTTGCCACAGTATTATCTATGAGGGGAACCTACTATGTGTCCAGCATGGGATTTGGCAGGAAGGATTTAAAGGGGTTAGAGATTACAGACTGAGAGACTGAAAAGGTGGCCATCCAGTCACCGAGCTTTAAGCGTCTTTTTTTCAGTGGCAATACGAGGTTGGAGACCAGCAAATGGTGTAATGGTTACCTCACTGGACTCCACATGGCCGATTAAGTTCAAGTCCTGGACCCAGTAACTTAAAACTCATGCCAGGCACCTGTGCGTGGATGTCCAAAATCCCAAGAGGAGGATGGAGGAGGAGGGATTGCAGTATGGCCATTTGGGGGGTGGATGGGGGGAGGCATGATTTCTTGCTTTCTGTCTCTCCAGAGAGTGCATGCACTCTATAGGAAACAATCTCTCTGAAAAGAAGAAAGAAAAGATGGAGTAAAACTAAGTTGATAGAAAAGATGGAGTAAAAGTTGATGATGGAGGGAAAGAAAGAAGACCTGAGAGTTCCTTGACTCAGAAACCAGAAAACAAACTTCAGAGTTGAAAGAGCATCAGGGTATCCAAGTGGAAATGTCCTATGGACATTTAGAAACCTAAATTGAAGTCCAGATCTCACTAGAAATAATTTGGGGTTTTTAGCATAGACTATGTTATAACAGAACCTTCAGTCAGTTGAGCATCTTCAGACAGGAAACGTGTTTACATTTCTGTAGGAGGGCCCGGAGAAGACCCCACAATTAGGCCATGATGTCAAATCAGAGAGAAAGTGAACCAATGAGATGCGAGAGCAATGAAAATCATGTTATATCAGTGAAGGACAGTATCAGCCAGTGTCATTACTGACTGGCCCACTTCAGAGCCCGTAGTCACAGGCCTCAGGGCTATTCTGTAAGTAGAGATCTAGGAAACCATTAAAGGTCTTCGCATCAATGAGGAGGGCCGATACTGTGGGATCTTTTTTCATGGCCGCCATCCAGAGCTTCAGTTTTGGAGTGTGGTCCACGTAACTGTTGAGGATAGAATGAAAAGTGTTAAGATGAACTAAGAAGTCTCCCATATATCATCATCACTCTAGGCTTCATTTTGTTTTCCTCTGGCCTTTTAACATATTTTTTTACATTTAAAAAAAATGCATATACTCATTCCATAATTCCATCTTGTAGAGGACTGTTTTATGGAAGAGAAATCTGAGACTAGAGTCTTGCTCAGTTAGTATGAAAATTTGGCCAAACTAAGAGACATAACTTTATAATAAGAATATGAAAGGCAAATTAAAATGTTACATAGTTACTATTAAATGGCCAGATAGTGACTGAAAATAACTGAATATCTCTAAGAAGTGGGAGCAAGCCAAGATGGTTGCCAAACTCAAAACTTGGAATTCGAAAAATAGTGAAGGAGCAATGGTCATAGAGTTCTGCAGCAGTATCCTTATAAAAATTTACATCCTTATGGGTTTTTAACCAGGAAGTAAAGAGTAAATTTTAAAACATCTTGTGATCAGCAGATGGCATAGCAATTGCATCACTAGACTCCCACATGGCTGACCACAGTTCAGATCCTGGATCCGATGGCTTCAAAAGAATGCCAGGCGTATGGGTGTGTGTACCCAAGATCCCAAGAGGAAAATGGAGAAGGGATTGCTGCGTGGCCATCCCTCCTGAGGGGTGATTTCTCACTTTAACTCTCACTGTGTCTGTCTGTCTCTCTCCAGCAAGTCTGTCTCTCTCCAGCAATTGCATGCCTAAGACAAAAATCTCTAAAAATGAAAAGAAATAAAAACCATTTTACTACATGTCACAGAAATCTGCCACTTCAGAGATGGGGAGGGATCTTAAGTATAGGTATCTGACGTGCCCTGAATAGTCCAAAATTCTCCCGTCTGCTTGTTCTCATTCATACCAATTGTATAAGTATTCTAATTTTCGTTCAGAAAAATACATACACTAGTCCAACTGTCATCCTAAATTATGCACAAAATATTCAAATGTCTTACTCATTTAACTCCAGTACTTCCAGCCGTTCAAACCAGGGCCACATGAGGTAATCAACCATAGAAGGGGAACTGCCCCCAAAGAAGGATGTCTTCTTAGTATTCAGAACCTAAACATTAAGCAGATAAGAATATTTCTTATTTGAGCATCTAGAAAGATTCAGTGTTAGAAATGATGAACATAGGGACCAGCAGTTAGCGTAATGGCTGTGTCGCTGGACTCCCACGTAGTCGACCGCAGTTCGAGTCCCAAACCCGGCGGCTTAAAACTCACGCCGGGCGCGTGTGTGTGCGTGCCCAAGATCCCGAGAGGCGAATGGAGGAGAAGGGATTGCAGCGTGACCATCCCCCCGGGTGATTTCTCACTTTCTGTCTCTATGTCTTTCTCTGTCTGGGGGCCCCCCCTATGTGGAAAACCTCTAAAAAAAAAAAAAAAAAAAAAAAAAAAGAAATGATGAACATAAATTACTCAGAGTAGGTAAGAGCAACAGCTTTTACTCTGATATATCTATATTGGGATTTTGTGTTTGATCAGTTTTAAGCTTTAGAATCTGTTGTCCTGGGATAAATCAAAGCAATCAACAAAATAAAATGAAAAATGGAGAAATATATATCAAACCACAGAGTACACGATCTTTAAAATACAAGGAGTCTTTAAGTAGTTAAGGGAAATGCATATTATTAAAAAAATGCATGGATTTCAAAATACCTGTGCCATAATAAACTTGTACTTTAATGCCATTTTTCTACAAACTTTTCAAAGTACTCTTGTACAAAGGACTGGTACTCAATATAGAAATCTTGGAAACTATTTATTAAAAAATGGCAAATAATCCATTAGAAAAATGAACAAGGCTTGACAGTCACAAAAGAGAATGTCCAAATAGGCAATAATCATTTGAAAAGATGCTCAATGCATAATCATCAGGGAAATGTAAATTAAAACTAATACTGTCCTGGGACCAGCAGATGGCATAATGTCTATGTCACTGAACTTCCATGTAGTCAACTATAGTTCTAGTCCCAGACCCGGCAGCTTAAAACTCATGCCGGGCATGTGTGCTTGTGTGCCCAAAATCCCAAGAGGAGAATGGAGAAGAGATTGCGGTGTGGCCATCTCCCAAGGGGGTTAATGTCTTGCTTTCGTCTCTCTGTTTCTCTGGAGACTGCATGTGCCCTATAGCAAAAATCTCTCTTAAAAAAAAAAAAAGAATACTGTCCTTAATATCAAAACCTAATAACAATACTGTAAGAACAGAAAGTTAAGAGTCAATCTCATTTATGAAATACATATACAAAAATTCTTTAACGAGTCAAGCTGTACTTAGTACATTCTCATGGCTTACTCATGGCTTTTCAAAAATTAGCAAACTTTTTTTTTGCTATAGCGTGCGTGCACTCACCAGGAAGACAGAGACAGAGAGACAGTGAGAAATCACCCCTCCCCCCAGGGAGGATGGCCACGCCACAATCCCTTCTCCATTCTCCCTTTGGGATCTTGGGCATGCAAGTACACGTGCCCGGCGTGAGTTTAAGCCACCGGGTCCAGGACTCAAACCACGGTTGACTACGTGGGAGTCCAGTGACATAGCCATTATGCCAACTGCTGGTCCCACTGGCAGCTTGCTTGCTTACTTTCCCCTCTTTGGTCAAATTCAAATAAATAAATACATAAATAATAGAGTTAAATAGTCATTCTTTTAAAAATTATTAAAAATTAGCAAACTAGTAATAGAAGAAAAACTCCAAGAAATGTTTCTGGAAAAAATCTATAGCAGACTTCATACTTACTGATAAAACATTAGGATGCCTCCCATAAATGATAGCAACCATGTCTTCTATCAGTAAAATACTCAGGCCAAGTACAAATGAAATGTCTTAACGCCAAGAGAAAACTGTCCAAAAAGCCCAAGTAGCACACTCTAAAGAAGGTAAACACTTGGAATTCCCACATATGATTGGTGGCAAACTTTTTGTGGTAGTTTAAGATTTAATTAATGTTACTAATAATAGTAAGTTGAAAAATCACACAGAATGACATCTATGCTCTGATTACAGAGCATAAAAAATAAAATTTTAAAAAATATATGGACAAGGACTACAAACATGAAAAAAATGGAATCAGGTGACTAGAAATGCAGACAAATTTTCCCTTTTTCATTATTTTAGTGTCAGTGCAATAACGTTTTATAAGCAAGTCTATAAAATATTTTTACATGTTTTGGTTTATATCTTAAGCAAAATAACTAAAAATTTTTATTTGACTTTTTATTGAGGTGGGAGAGTTTTTCGCTATAGGGTACGTGCGCTTGCTGGAGAGACAGAGACAAAAAGTAAGAAATCACTCCCCAGGAGGGATGGCCACGCCACAGTCCCTTCTCCATTCTCCTCTCGGGATCTTGAGCACACACACACACACACACACACACACCTGGCATGAGTTTTAAGCCACCAGGTCTGGGATTTACCACGGTCAACCATGCGGGAGTCCAGTAATGTAGTAATACCTGATATTACTTCTAATTGTCATAAAGCAATTTAAGATATGGGAGTATGAAGCAAAGAGTAGAAGGAAAAAGAGTAAAGATGGTATATCGTTTACTCTGCTAAAAAGTGATAAAAACCCATTGATTACCTCCTCCAGCTTGCTGAATTCTTTACAAAATTCTTCTTTTAGATCAGAGCAATCTTTCTTATTTTGCCTTCTTATAAAGCTTGTTAGCAAAGATGGCACCTAGATAGAGAATAATTTCAGTTTATTGGTTTGAAGGTAACTCCTCAGTCCTCTCATATAAAAACAAGATAGAACCTCCACAGTCCTCAGGTCAGGGAGTTCTAGTAACTTCAAGGATGTACTACGTCCCTGTGTTCACAGAGGTCATGGGCTGATCTTAGAAATAATGTTGTGGCCTAAGATGCTGTTGATCAAGCTTCTGGAAGCTGTAAGTAGTATAACTCACTTTAGTGCATTTGAACCAAAAAATTTTTTGTTTGTTTTTAGTGTTCATTTATATTTTTTCTTTTTTTCATAAGACAGACAGAGTAGGAGGAAGAGAGATGGGGAGACAGGGACCTTTGACAGGGTCTTGTCACACAACAATCCTCTCGCAGCTTTCTAGCCAGTTAGGATCATGGGTGTACCCATGACCCTGCCTATTGTGTTCAGTTTGATCCAGGATCCAAACCCAGAGCTTTCCCATATAGCCCCAGCATTGCACAAGAGTTCCCTGCTACCTGCACCACTGTAGCTAGGCCCAAAAGATTCCTTAAAAGAACACTAAGTGGCACACAGAATTGCTGGGAGGCTGAACAAATAGATCTGGAACTAAGAACATTCAGAAATCACGCTGAGAATTGGCCTGATGGAAAGTGCCCAGTTCTATCAATGTCAGCTGATCGCTAAATGCTAGTGTGTGCTGCTGCCAGAAAATACACTCAGAGGCGAGTACAGATGCCACTAGGCACCAATGCTACTTCTTTCTTTCTTTTTCTTCTTTTTAAAAAATAATTCTAATATCTATCTATTTATTTCATTCCTTTTTTTTTTTTAATTTTACCAGGGAGAGAGACAGAAAGAAAGGGAAAGTGAGAAAGCAGCTGCCATGTCCAGGACTCGAACTGTGGTCAGCCATGTGGTAATCCAGTGCCTTTAGCTCTCATGCCACTTGCTGGCCCCACCAATGCTATTTCTACTGTGAAACTAAATCTTGCAACCACTACCGTTCCTGGAAGCTGGAAGCTCTGCCACAACTCACCAACAGAACCCATGGCTCCCATTGCTCACTTCTGAACTGAACTACCTTGTGTATATCTGATGGAGTCTTGGTCACAGGCCTTGGCTCAAGTTGCAGACGGTGATGGGAATTAGAACATTTCTAATTTCTACCTTGAGGACACTGGAAAACTGCAAAAGGAACAAACTACCTGAGGACTTGACAGGTATAGTGTCAGATGCTTTAATACTTGTAGCGAAAGTGTTTGTGTGTTTTAATACTTCTGTCTTTGGACTCATCGCATTGCAAGAGACAGAAGTCCACTCATCCAGGTTTGAGGAAACACATATTTATAAAACACAGAAGAGTCATGAATGTCCAAACAACTTGCTCTATAGGAACTGAGAGTTTGAAGGCAACCCTGAGGTCCACGTTTCTATTTGGGCCTGCCTAGCCTTTCATCTCTGCTTTTCCTTAAAAATCTGCTCTATATTGTTTTACATATATCAGTTCCCTTTCCGATGCTTTTCATTTTTGCTTTCTCAGAAATTTATTTTTTATATGGCTTTGCTTTTTCAAGTCTCCAGTTACACACACACACACACACACGGCTTCAAGGTTTAACACCTTTACTGTCTTCGTCTGCATCTCATTTCTAAGTTCCCAAGAAAAAAATGATAGGTCCGTGAGCCAGCCAGGTGGCATAGTGGTTAAAGTGGCTGGACCCCACATTACTGACTACCTGGTTTGAGTCTCAGACCCAGTGGCTTGGAAAATATGTCAGGCATGTGTGCATGCACGTCCAAAATCCAAATAGGAGAATGGAGAAGAGACTGAGGCGTGATTATCTCCCCTGGGAAGTGATTTCTCAGTTTCCCTCTCTCTGGTGAGTGCACATGCCCCATAGCCAAAACAAAAACAAAAGTAAAAATAAAAAAATGATTGGCCCAAGTGTGGCAGGGAAGGGGTTGAGATCTATCTCTGGTATGGTAAGCTGTGGCCAGGAAGGCAGGATCATGTGTTACATAGGCTACCTCTTTCCTGAAAGTGAGTAGGAAAATACTGGTAGGCACTCCAGCTTTACTTTCCAAGCTGATTTTTCTTTCTAGACAGTACAATAAATCTCTGTTACTGATTTTTAAACTCTCCAACGTTTCTTATAAATGCCATATTCCCTATCAACTCTGACGGTAGTCACTTCCACTATTCTTTCACCTTCGTCCTGTCAAGCCAAATGACTCCTTCCTTTCCCATCCCTTTACAGTATCTCCTAAATATGTTCTAGGGATCAGCAGGTGGCCTAGTGGTTAAGGTATCAGACTCCTATGTAGCCAACCACAGTTTAAGTCCCAGACCAGACAACTTGAGACTCAACGCTTGCCATGTGAGCCCAAAACCCCAAGAGGAGAATGAAGAAGTGATCGTGGCATGGCTATCAGTCCATGGGGTGATTTCTTGCCTCCCGTCTCTCTGCCTCTCTGTGTGTCTCTTGCAAGTGTACACACCCTACTGCAAAAACTCTTAAAAAAAGAAAAAGACAACAAAGCCCCCAATATGTTCTCTATATAAATTTCACATCTTCTAGGTATTTTTTTAAACCATTTCTTTCTCTAGAGACCAGATATTCTTGTATCGCTGACTATACTACTAAAATGTTAAAGCTGTCAGAATCAAACTTGAGTCATTTGTGTCAATCCTGACTGAACTGAACTGGGAAAGGTCATGGAAGGGGTATTTTCTCACACTAATGTGCCTGGTAACAAGAACTGTTATTTAATGGACTCTACCAAAACTACAATCTTGCATAAAGCCCACTGCAACCTGACATAAGGACTAGTTCTGCAATGACATCTGCCCAGAGACTGCCTATCTAACCTTTGACTTACACCACCTGTGTTAATAATCCTGGTAGCCAAGGATAATTGTCCCAAAACAACTGGTATAATCCCCCCTCTCCCTCAATCTCAAGGACCTCACAGCCTCAGTGTAATACACAGGCCAGATGGGAGATACACATGTGCTGAGTCCCTGACAGTGAAAAGTTAGCACACACAGTATGCTCCAGTCAGGACGAGCTTTTAGGAGGCAGCAGCATTCAAGTAGATGCACAAAACATTTGACTGCGAGAGGACTTGGCTGCAGTGGCGTAGCAGCTGCCGTGACATGCTGGAAGCCATGTGGAGGATGGGTTCATTTCCCAGTTTTGAGAGATTTTCACTGTAGGGCGCGTGCGCTCGCCAGACAGACAGAGACATAGAGACAGAAAGCGAGAAATCACCCCCCAGGGGGGATGGTCACGCCGCAATCCCTTTTCCTCCATTCTCCTCTCGGGATCTTGGGCACGCACGCACACGCGCCCGGCGTGAGTTTTAAGCCACCGGGTCCGGGACACGAACCGCGGTCGACTACGTGGGAGTCCAGCGACATAGCCATTACGCTAACTGCTGGTTCCCCATTTCCCAGTTTGACCTGTACACGCCGGGTACACACACAGATGCCTGTGCTTTCTGGCCTTCTGGGAAGACTAGGAGAGGATCATGGTGTCAGCCCATTGATTTATTTCTCTCTCTCTCTCTCAGTCTGTCAATAAATTGATTTAAAAAAAAAATTGGGTGATAACCAAACGAAGTGAGAAGAGGGAAGAATCTTCCAGCTAGAGTTGAAAGAGAAGGCAATGAGTTTGGGAAAACTACAAAAGTTTAGTATGGCTGGAATACAAAATATCAAGAAAAGAGGAAAAGGGGTTAACTTTGGAGAGGTCAACAGGAACTGGATCACAAGAAGACCTGTAAGACATATCAACTGTTAAGGGCATATTCCTGTTTTGTTTTCGTTTCTCAAATCACTAAACCATAAAACACATCACTGATTTAACTTCTAAAAAAAGGGACAGGGTTCAAATAGTTGAAATTTCTTACAAATACCTTAGAGAATAACTCAAAGATCATCTTTTGGCGAGCTTTCTCGTAAGGGTCATCTGGCAATAGCTTCCTGCCTGGATATGCTTCATCCAGGTACTCACAAGTAATGGCAGATTCATAGACCAGTTGACCCTGACTGTTTTCCAGAACTGGCACCAGACCAAAGGGATTCTTTTTAAAGAACCACTCAGGTTTATTTTTCAGGTTGATGTTGATGACTTCATGCCTGAAAGACACATATAAGAGTATAAAGACAATGAAACTTTTTGTACTTTTGAATCTCCTGCAATTCACTTAGCTGATCAGATCCCAAAGTAAGAGTTAATTCTGTCTTGTTCCTCTATTCCAATCTTAGATTTCATGAATTTGACTATTCATGAATAGTCAAATTGATTCCACCTTTCAGTGGAATCAAGCAACATTTCTATTTTTATGTCTGACTTATTTCACTTAGCATAATGTCCTCAAGGTCCATCCATGTTGTGTCACATTGCAAAATTCCTTTCTTTTTAAATCCATAATATTCCATTATTATTATATATTATATCCATTATACAATGTATGTATATACATTTTCTTTCTTCAGTTGTTGATGGATGCTGACATTATTCTAATGTGAATAGTACTAAAATGAACAGAGCGCTAATATCTCTTTGAGATCCTGATGTCAATTCTTTTGGCTACACCAGGAATCTTCACGAAGTTCATTGTGAAACACATGAGAAAAAAACTATACCTAGATTTCTTTTTTTTTTCACCAAAATAATCTTGTACTATATAATTCCATTTCCCATGAGCTTTTTTTTTTTTTTTTTTTTTTGAGGTTTTTGCTATAGGGCACATGCACTTGCCAGAAAGACAGAGAGAGACAGAGAGACAGAAAGTGAGAAATCACATCCCCCAGGGGAGATGGCCACATTGCAATCCCTTCTCCTCCATTCTCCTCTCAGGATCTTGGGCACGCACACACATGCACCTGGTGTGAGTTTTAAGCTACCGGGTCTGGGACTTGAACCATGGTCGATTACATGGGAGTCCAGCGATATATCCATTACGCCAACTGCTGGTCCCTCCCATGAGATTTTTAAAGTCCTCTTACATATCCAAAAGCAGGATTTCTGAATCATATGGTAGTTCTATTTTTCTTCCTTTTTTTTTTTTTTGAGGAATGTCCATGTTTTTCAAAGCAGCTGCATTATTTTTCATTCTCATTGACAGTATGCAAGGATTTCAGTTTCTATATATGCTTGCTAACATGTCTTATTACAGTCCTCCTGAAGTATTTGAGGCAATTACCTCATTGTGATTTTGATTTGCACTTCCCTCATGATTAATGACAAAAAGTATTTTTTATATACCTGTTGGCCAGTTGTCCATCTTCTTTGGAGAAACTTCTATGCAACTCCTTAGCCTCCTTTTTAATCAGGTGATTAATTTTTTTGTCATTTAATTTCTTTTATATTTTGAGAATTAACTCCTTATCAGAGAAATGGTTTGCAAATATTTTCTCCCCTTCCACAGCTTGTCTTAATCATTCTGTTAATATTTCTTTTGCTGTTGCAGAAGCTTTTTAGTTTGATGTAGTTCCACTTGTTTGTATTTCCCCCCAGGGTTTATTTTGTTTCATTTTGTACTTTTAGTGTCATACACATGGAATCATTGCCAAGACCAATATCATGAAGCTTTTCCCTGCATATTAGCCTTTTTTACATTCATTGAATTTACTAAATGTGTTGCCACCTTTGCACTTGCTGTTCCTGTTCCTCCTTTTCTGCTTGTTTTCTCGTAGGTCTTCCCAGATCAAACACCAATGCTCAGAGAACCCTCCACAACCACCATTCTGAAGTTGCTGAGCAATCTGTCTCTATGATGTGATCGTCTTGTTTTACTTTCATCACTGAATTGATATGTATCTGAAATTACTTTGCTCACTTACTTTCCTGTTTAAGTTAACTCCTTAGAATGTAAGCTCTATAAAGTAGGGATCTTGTGTGTCTTGTTCATAGTAATAAACATAAATGAGCTAATTTTAAATAGATAAATGCTGGGACCAGGAGATGGCGTAATGGTTACGTCACTGGACTCCCATGTAATCGACTACGGTTCAAGTCCCGGACCTGGTGGCTTAAACTCACATCAGGTGCGTGTGCATGCGTGTGTGCCCAAATCCCAAGAGGAGAATGGAGGAGAAGGGATTGTGGTTTGGCCATCCCCCCAGGAGGTGATTTCTCACTTTCTGTCTCTCAGTCTGGTCTCTGTCTTTCTGGCGAGTGCACGTGCCCTATAGCAAAAAAAAAAAAAAGAGATAAATGCTAAGAAGAAAATAAAAATAGTTTCAGAGGGCCCAGCAGATGGCGTAGTAGTTACATCACTGGACTCCCCCATAGTCAATCAACCGCAGTTCAGGTCCCCCAGAACCAGTGACTTGAAATTCATGCCTGGCACAAGTGTGTGCGTGCCCAGAACACCAAGAGGAGAATGGAGAAAGGATTGCAGTGTGTTTACCCCCCCTAGGGAGTGATTTCTTGCTTTCTGTGTCTCTTCAGTGAGCACACATGCCCAATAGCCAAAGTCTCTCTTTGAAAAAAATAGTTACAGAGAGAGACTCAGTAAATATTTATTGGTGAATGAATAAATAGGTGGAAATGCTTTAAAACTCAATAAGAAACTCCATTTTTGGCTAAGAGTTACCTTAATTGTAAATTATATGAGGTAACTAAGTGAATTTTGTTCACTACTCACCATATGAGAATCTACATGATATAATTCAATTCGTTTTGCTAATTTGAATAAAAAGTTACTTGCTTTTTACAAAGATATTAAGGAGTCCTAAAAATCCACCCACGAAATAAACTCAAATTAAATCTCCATATGTCGATATGTTTTTAAAAATGTTACATAGGTAAATCATACAAAGTAAACCAAAAGAAAAAAAAAAGGTGAAGTTCAGGCTATATTCAAACTGTAATTGGATCTATCTTGAGATTGCCTGAGAGATTGTAGATAAAATAAGAAACAAAAGGTCTTGTAATTTTAAAGTCAGGTCCATATAATTGTTAAAGTTGTATAATTGTTCGATAGAACAAATTTACCTTTTGCTGTTGCCTATTTCCTCATCAACAGCAGTAGCTAGAATAACATTTAGTTTGTGGATTTAAATATGTAATTTTCTATGGAAACAAAGGAATAGCCAGCTTGACCACAAGCCTATGTGTGTTGTATTAAATGGTTTATAAGCTCACAGAATATTGGACACTCAGAGATTAGCCATTAAGAGAAAAACAAGCCCCCTGTGAAAGAATGATCCATTTTTGACAATTTATACTAGGAAAACAAAAGGTAGATCCTGGGTTTTTGTGATAAAGAAGTCCATCAGAACACAAACACATTTTGGTAACCTGCCATTATAAGCCAGTAAGTCAACACACCTACCACAACAAGTTGGAAGATATACCTTGTAGAGCAAGCCATGCCTTTGTTAGGTTATGTCATGTGATAAAACTTTGCCAATAAGTCTCCTGAATTTCAAACTTAAATTGACCCATGAATGTATTAGACCTCTGTTGTTCAACTGGAGCCATTACATACAATTCCCTTCCACAATTATGGTAATATAACCTCAATTTTCCTTTGGAAAATGGTACCGGTAAGGCCAGGTTGTTTTTAACCTAGAGTTCTTAGGGGGTTGGGCACATGTAGGGTTTCCCTGTTCTCCCCACATTTTTTCTTATCCTGACCAAGAAGCACAAAGAACCTTGACCACTCTGTGATATAGTCAGCTGCATTTCTCCTGCAGTCTTGAGCCCTCACCAGGCCTGCAACGTTTCAGAGCACTGATAAAGATGTTTAGGACCAGCAGGTGGCGTGACGGTTAAGGAGCTGGACTCCCAATGGCTGACTGCACTTCAAGTCCCAGACCTGGCAGCTTGCTTTCTCACTGTCCCTCTTTCTCTGTCTCTCTCTCTGGTGGGCACACATGTCCTATGCCAAATTAACAATAAGTAAAATAAATTTTTTTTAAAAAAAGATGTTTAGTTTGTTATGCTGAATTCCGAAAGAAACTGCCCTAGCAGTCCCAAAATTCGTAAATTCAATACTCTAATCTGCCTAGTTACAACACACCTGGGTAGAACACCTTTCTCTTGCTGACTCTCTGGAGGATACTCTGCAGTCCATCTGTAAACTCCCCTAAGTGCTTTGTACTGATCCCTTCCACTCCACCCCAGTGTTTAGTGCTCTTTTCTGTGGAATCTCAATTGCCCCATCTCAAGAGGTTGGGGACACTCCCTTATGGGAGCTCCCCAGCCCCACTTTTGGAGTGACACCAGCAAGAACTATCAGAAAGAGCACAGAACCCAGGACTTGATGTCCCTGAATCTAGCTTTATCTTCTTGCTCCTGAACTTTTCAGTTTTACCTGAGTGTGAAAAGCGTGTCTGTCTGTCTGTCTCTCTCTCTCTCTTTTTTTTTTCTTTTTTTAAGATTTTATGAGGTGTGTGCGCTCGCCAGAGAGATACAGAAAGTGAGAAATATGGGAATGGCCACACTGCAATCCCTTCTCCTCCATTCTCCTCTTGAGATTTTGGGCATGTATACACATGTATACATTATTTTTTTTCAAGTGGAGGTGGGAGTGGGGAGTTAGTGTCCAGCAGGATTCAAACCACACAAGTGGCTATGTGGAACCCAGCCCCTTAATCTCTATGCCACCTATTGGCCCAAAAGTATCTTTGTTTTCAATCCAATTTGAATTAGATTTCTCTTACCTATAATAAAATAATTCTTACCATTAATGATACAGCAAACATTACAATGTTTTGGATAAGATAGTGTTTTTGACAAATGAGGGAACCAGCAGTTAGCATAATGGCTATGTCGCTGGACTCCCACGTAGTCCACTGCGGTTCGCGTCCCGGACCCGGTGGCTTAAAACTCACGCCGGGCGCGTGTGCATGCGTGCCCAAGATCCCGAGAGGAGAATGGAGGAAAAGGGATTGCGGCGTGACCATCCCCCCTGGGGGGTGATTTCTCGCTTTCTGTCTCTCTGTCTCTCTCTGTCTGTCTGGCGAGCGCACGCGCCCTACAGCGAAAAAACCTCTAAAAGAAAAAAAAAGAAATGTTACTAACATAGCAAGTACTTTGCTATGTGTTCAGACTCATAATTTTATCCAAATAAAATGCAAATTTTAGTGAACTGATGGTTAATCAAAAAGACCGCTTTTTTATAATACATCTTACATTTCTTTTAGGCTATTACACACACACACACACACACACACACACACACTGCTTAATTAGTTCTTCCCTAGAAGATTAAAATTAGTTTACAAACCCTAATGGAAGCACACAAATGTAACTCCTTAAGACTGAGGGCTATGGGGCCCACTGGTGATCTGCGGGTTAAGGCAGCTGGATGCTGCTATATGGCCAGTTGTGCAATTCGGTCCTGGACTTGGTCACTTGAAAAATGCACCAGGTGCATTTGCATGAGTCTTCCAAATTCTGAGAGGATAATGGAGAAGGGATTGAGAGAGATGGCTCTTCTTTCTTGGGATGGGGTGGGGAATGCTTCCTCCCTCTGTCTGTCTGTCTGTCTGTCTGTCTCTCTCCAGTGAGTGCTCATGCCCTGTAGCAAATTTTAAAATAATATTAAAGTATATTGAGAAATGGCCACCACTTAAAAAAAAATGGCGACTATGTTTTAAACTTCCACAGAGCCTCCTACACTACCAGTATCTAAAATCATATTCAACACATTCCAAAGGTCATTGGAAGGAAGGTGGTTGGCATAAGAGAAAAGCCAAACAGCTTGCATGTTTTCTGCAAAAACCCAATAGATCATTCACTACACTAGTTTAAATAATGAAGCTTCTCAAAAGATTGAATTTTTAGACATGGACACTTCTTTTCTTTGACTAAACCAACATCCCAATCTATAGTCATATGTTTAGTAAACTTAGCACTCTGCTGGGGGGTGGTGGTGGTCAAAGTCTGAATTCTGTCCTGGGGTAGGTTCCTCGTGGTGGGGGGGGAGCCATATACTCAGAATAACAGAGAACAGTATAAAATATGCGGAAAAAGCATGGAGAAAAGCGAAAAGCACTGGACCAGAAATCCAGGACCTTGCCAGAGCTAAAACAGCTGCTGCCAGGGAGCACCAGCTTAGTGATCTTGAGCAAATCACCAACTCAACTGGAGTCTCAGCTTTTCCAATTCATAAAATGGCTGGTTAATTTCAATGAGGAGTCCTAGCCGAGTGGAGTCCATAGCATTTCCTCACTTCTCACCATTCCCCAAAAGGATGGTAACAGTTCATTTTGAAGTCAAAAAAGCTCCAGGGCCCTATCGAAGATCCTGAACCCCGCCGCCACAGCAGCGGGCTCCAGCCCCTCCCGGAGCGCCCCGCGCCTAAGTCCTCACCGGATTCTCTTGGCCTCCAAGACCAGACGCGTCCTCTCAGCAAATGGACAGAACCTCATGCTGTAGACGCGGATCACGCCTTCTGGGACCGGCCCTGGGGGCTCGCTTCCTGCGGGGAGAAGCAGACGCAGTTACACCCCCAGAACGGTCTGGATCCCAGCCTCCCACCGCCCCTGGGTCCCAATGCGGAGAGGACCGATGCGCGGTGGCCCGGATCCCGGCCCCGATCCCTTCCCAGCCGGCCGGGGCCCTTCGGGGCGGCCCGGCTTCCAGGGCGGCTTCGCTCCGACACGCGACCGGGGGTCGCCGAGATCACCCCTTCCCTCGAGGTGGGCAGGCCTCACCCTTCGCCAGACTCCTGGCAGATCCCCCCGACATCGCGGCGCAGCACCGGCCAAGCTCCCCGCGCGGTCGCCTTGGGCTTTGCAAGTGATTCAGGAAGTAGTCGCCCCTCCCTTCCTTCTCGGTCAAAAGTGCCAGCCCGGGGCGGCGGTCGGCTCTGCCGGGACTGAGTGCCCAGGCCCGGGAGCTG